CNAGAACTAATGTTCCCAATTCGTTGGCATCGATCGCAAGATTTAGCAAAAATGTGAGCATCCTTAAAGAGAGTTGGCCAAAATAAACCCGATTGGAGTACCTTAAAGGCGGTCTTTCGACCACCGAAGTGTCCTCCGCAATGAAGCTCATGGCAAAAGGCAAGCACGCTCGGTTGCTCATCTTCGGGTACACATCTCCGAAGAATCTCATCCTTCCCTAACTTGAAGAGAAACGGGTCGTCCCAAAAATATTCCCTGCACTTCGACACAAAACGCTTCCTCTCTTGGGGAGAGAGGTTAGGCAACAAAATCCCGTCCGACAAATAATTCACAATGTCCGCATACCAAGGGGTGTTAGTCACTTCATTTGCATTTTCATAAGGAAATTTATCATCAATATCAAATGGTTCATGCAAAATGAGTGAATGCTCGTTAGGAACAATGCGCGACAAATGATCGGCTACGACGTTCTCACAACCTTTCCTATCCCTAATCTCAACGTCAAATTCTTGTAATAGCAAAATCCAACGAATGAGTCTCGGTTTCGATTGAGTCTTACTCAAAAGATACCGGAGAGCCGCATGGTCCGAATGGACAATTACTTTAGACCCCAAGATGTAGGATCTAAATTTTTCGAGTGAAAAAATTACGGCTAAAAACTCTTTCTCGGTCGTGGTATAGTTCAATTGGGCACCGTTAAGGGTCAAGCTAGCATAATAAATCACTCGAAGCAATTTATCAACTCTTTGTCCCAAAACGGCTCCAACCGCAAGATTTGACGCATCACACATAATCTCGAAAGGTAATGACCAATCGGGAGCAACAACAATGGGTGCGGTTACAAGCTTATTTTTCAATGTAGCAAAGGCATCTAAACATGCATCATCAAACATAAACGGCACATCGTTAGCAAGCAAATGACACAAAGGTTGGCTAATTTTCGAAAAGTCCTTGATGAAACGCCTATAAAAACCGGCATGACCTAAAAAGCTTCTAATTCCCTTCACATTTGTAGGCGGGGGAAGTTTTTCAATTACATCAATTTTCGCCTTATCTACTTCAATCCCCCGACTTGACACAATATGACCCAACACAACACCACTTCGAACCATAAAATGACTCTTCTCCCAACTCAAGGTTAAATTCGATTCTATGCAACGCTCAAGAACACGAGATAAATTATGGAGACATGTAGAAAATGAATCACCAAAGATAGAAAAGTCGTCCATAAATACCTGTAAGCAATCCTCGAGCATGTCGGAGAAGATGGAGAACATACACCTCTGGAAGGTCCCGGGTGCATTGCAAAGTCCGAATGGCATTCGTCGGAAGGCAAATGTGCCGAAAGGGCACGTGAAGGTCGTCTTCGGTTGGTCTTCGGGTGCGATGGCTACTTGGTAGTAGCCCGAGAGTCCGTCTAAGAAGCAATAGAATTGGTGGCCTGAGAGACGGTCGAGGATTTGATCAATGAACGGCAACGGAAAATGGTCTTTCTTTGTGACGGCATTGAGTCGCCGGTAGTCTATGCACATTCTCCACCCGGTAGTGATGCGGGTGGGGATCAACTCCTTCTTGTCGTTTTCGATAACGGTAATGCCCCCCTTCTTGGGCACCACATGAATCGGACTCACCCATTCGCTATCGGCAACCGGAAAAATAAGCCCCTCGGAATAGAGTTTTAGCACCTCCTTCTTTACAACCTCCATCATGTTCGGGTTAAGCCGTCGTTGGCTATCCCGAAATGGCTTGGCCCCGTCTTCTAAAACGATCCGGTGCATGCATGTGGAAGGGCTAATTCCCTTGAGGTCTCCAAGGCTCCACCCAATAGCGCTTTGATTCTTCTTAAGCACCTCAATGAGTTCATTCTCCTCGTCTCGGTTAAGCTCGGCAAATATGATGACCGGTTTGAGCTTCTCTTCGTCTAGGAATACGTACTTGAGGTGTCGCGGTAGTTCCTTAAGCTCCAAGGGTGGTTCTTGTGTTCGTGGTTGGTCGGCTTCAAATAGGTCTACGGTCGGTTCTTCTTCCTCGTCTAGGTCGGGCGTGGTTCTCTCCTCAAAGTGTCGGGTGGTCATTTCTTCAACAATCGGATCTAACATGTCAATCAATGCACATTCCTCAATGAAGTTCGCCGAAGGTGCCGAGGTGGCATTTCGAACGGAAATCGACACGGTCTCTCCCAAAACCGTCATCATCAAGGTCCCATTCTTCACGTCTATTAGGGTGTTGGTGGTGGCCATGAATGGTCTCCCGAGCAAAATGGTGTGGTCCTTCCCGTTCTCGTGCACGTCCCCCACATCTAGAATGACGAAGTCGACGGGGACAATGAGCTTTCCCACTCGGACAAGGACGTCTTCCACAACTCCTTTCGGGTACCTCACCGATCGGTCGGCAAGTTGGAGGCACATGCGGGTTGGCCTCAAGTCCCCAAGACCGAGTCGTTGGAAGATAGAAAACGGCATTAGGTTGATCCCCGCCCCGAGGTCGAGCATCCCCGAAGCTTCTTTCCCATTTCCTAAGGCGATTTTGATAATGAAACCGCCGGGATCACGTTCCTTCCTCAGAAGGTCTTGATGCATAGCACTCGCCGCCTCGTACACCACAACCTTTTCCCCTTCCCCGAACTTCCGTTTCTTCGTCACCAAATCCTTGAAAAATTTCACGTACGATGGCATGGTTTTAATCACATCAAGGAGGGGTAGGTTGACATTGACCTTCGAAAGCATATCGTAGAGGTCCCGAAATTGTTTCTCCTTCTTGTCATCCCGAAGGCGGCTCGGGAAAGGAATGCGCGGTTTGTATGGATTGGGAGACTTGTGTAGGACCGGGTCCTCCGTCGGCTTTGTCGGGCTCTTCTCCTTATCATCGAGCACGTCTCCGGTTTGGTCGATTGGCCTTGTATCATCCGCAGCGGGCATCTCCACATGGTTATCGACGACTTTCCC